CGAAGTATGCGGTTGCCAGCTTCGGAAATAAGGTATTAAACGAAGCTGAACAAATAACAAAAGTAAATTAAGTCACATTTGCCTACGACTTAACACATGTAGTTTTACAATACATAAAAAAGACTTAAGGCGATTTTTTTCTCATCAAACATAACAAAATGATTCGTACGTTGAAAGGAACCTTTCCATTGAAAGTGCAACCAAATGATATGAATGTTTTGCGTGTTTCCATAAAAAGGCCAACTTTGGTTTCAAACTCTTTTGGGCCGTGAACTACCAAACTTTCTAGATAAATATTACTTCCATCTCTAGGCGTAATATATTTTATGTAATTTTATAACCTGAAGGAGACTTTCCCACGTAATATTAATAAGTGGCTTCTCTGTGACAAAAGAAAGAAATGAAGTAATATTACGACGCTGTTTTATTACGACCGTGCCATATGTTATGGGCCTCACGGTATTCAGCCATATTCTATCACGCTCTCTCTTTGTCTTTTTTCTTATCTGAATTTAAAATAAAAATCAGCAATCATATTTAATTATCATAATGATGGTAGACCTCACAGAAAAGAGGCATGAGGTAAAGGTAATTTCGCGTTTCGTCTGACGAGTGTGCATGTCGGAGACTTAATTTTATTCTTCTTTTCCTATGTAAAAAAGAGTGGTAAGGAGAAGTGCATTTCACAGAGGAGGAGATGGATGTGAAGAAATATTTTCTCCTGTGCCCCCCTCCCTTGTCGATTAAAGGTAAGCAACGCAACTGCAATTGCGGATGCCTATAAGCAGCGGTCCCTTCGCTATTGCAGTGAACTCAGGTTGTCGCTTGCTCGTTAGCCACAATATAAAAAAAAGAATTTTTGGTAATAAAGTAAAACAAAAACAACAATTATAGGAAATATATTGAATGAAGAATTTCTGTCTAGATTTTCATTTCAAAGTTTTTCTTGAATTAATCGAAACACTGGATACCATTTTTATTCTGAAAGCTATTAAGGAAGTTCTTTTTTCTCATTACATCTTCCGTTTATTCCCAGCGCGAACATAACATAATGTGTACTGCTCCGTACCGCACCAACTGCACGCCGCAGTTTCTACCGACTGCAATGAATTGAAATTGTATTTTGTTTTATTTGATGCTCCCCAGTGATTTTACAACTTTTTGTTTAAAAGAAATATTGAAAATTTCTTTCATAATTTTAACATTTCCGCATCACTTTAAAACATTATCTAATAATGATTATTGATCATTTCAGATGAACAGGCGATTTCGAAAGTCGTTTCTTCAATAGACTTGAATCGGACTAAAACTTTAAAATCAATAAAAAGTATAGTTAGTTTTACTTATACTTAAAGTTTTAGTTTAAAGTTTTAGTCCGATTCAAGTCTATTGATTTTTTAGTCTAAAACACACTTATGCAGCAAGCAGCGACATCTAGATCCTTAGAGACGAAAACGAGAGAAATCAATTATAAACAATTTTTTTATTGTTGTATTCATCATGCATCTATCATGTTAATTAAACTAATCACGTTACAAACATTCGCAAAGTTTGAAATCATTTTACCGTTATTACCCGGTACTACCCAGTCTCAATTATCTGTGAGTTATAAAATCGCTACTCTTTGACATTTGGTCATCTTATCTATGTCACTAAATAAGAAATGACCTAAAAGTCTGTGTTCCAGGTAATAAAATTTAAAAAGAAAATTCTATGTCATAGATAGTCTGTTTTGACAGATGACGGATGGTAAAATAATTGGTATTTGTTGCATTTGCATTATTTCATTGCACATTAAGTTAATTTCATGATTTAAGTTAAGGTATCAGATTCAAATACCAACAATAATTAATATAAGTTTTGTTTTCGTATTCATATAGATTATAAATCTGCAAAAATGAGTATGAGACCAGATGACCACCGTCGAAAATGGGACAAAGATGAATTTGAAAGAATCGCAACAGAACGATTGAAAGCAGAACTAGAAGAAGAGGAAGAACGCACCAAAAAGAAAGGTTTGGAAAATTTAATGAGAAAGTTTAATTAAACTTCATACATTTACAATATTAAAATTCAAATCCTTTTCAGCACCGCCAGTAAAAAGAGAACTCTTGAAGCAACGCGATTATAAAGTTGATTTAGATTCCAAACTAGGCAAAAGCGTCGTCATAACAAAGAACACTCCAACCTCTCAGTCTGGTGGGTACTACTGTAATGTTTGTGACTGTGTTGTCAAAGATTCCATCAACTTTTTGGACCACATCAATGGCAAAAAACATCAACGTAACCTTGGCATGTCCATGAAGATAGAGAGAAGTACATTAGACCAAGTAAGTGTATTATAGTTGGTTTCTGCAACCAAAATCCCTGTATAAAACATAGTCATATTTTATACAGGCATTTTGGTCTAAGAAATCAATAATTACTTGTTAATATTAATAATAAAGTTTCTAAATTAGTTATCTATAGATAGAAATAGATGTTATGACATTGAGAAAATTTGATTGAATTTATTAATTATTCTATATTACAGGTAAAAGCAAGATTCTCATTTAACAAACGTAAATTAGAAGAGAAAAAGCAAGATTATGAACTGGATACAAGATTGAGGGAAGCTGCAGAAGAAGAGGCAAGGTTAAAGGAACTCCGCCGTGAGAGACGCCGTGATAAGAAACGCAAAATAGAGGAGACAGAGGATCCCGATGACAGCCCAGCTCAGTCAGAACTTGCACAAATAATGGGTTTCTCAGGTTTTGGAGGTTCAAAGAAGTGATTGTGTGTAATCATCCATTAATATCAGTTACTTTACTATGTTAATTAAACTTATTAAGAAAATTATAATGTCTTTTCTTTTATATTACATGCTATGTTTAAAGATGTAAGTTTGAGTATTCGTTTTATTTATAACTGTCAAATTTTATTTATTTTCATATAAAAAGTAAACACACATCAGTATGTGCATTGTTAGATTCTTTATTACCAATTGAATGCAACTAGATTAAATATAGATGTTCCATTGATACAAATTGTTAGCAATTTTTCAAGCGGAACAAAGGTCAGCCTTGTTAAAACACATGTGATTTATGTGTTCATCCATTTTAGTGGCAAATGAATAAATGTTAACATGTTGTATGAGCACCACCCTACTTCAATGTATGCAAGATCTCATTACAAATATAGAGAGCCTTTATGGAGGTAAAGAGAATAGTAGACTTCCAGACATTTTAATGAATTGTGATCTTAAACCAAAACACCACAGCCATGATTATTAGTAAAAAATGTAGTATAAATTTCGCCGATGCCACTAAATAAAATGAGAATGAAACGAAATGACAGAAAAATGTCACTGTTTTTTTCTATATCTACTGGGATTCGAACTGATGACCTACGCTGTCAAAAATATAGCTATGTACTGCCTTCAGGCATATCAAAACATGATTCTATGCCATTTTAGTCGCGTTCTGCGGTATAATTGCAAAGTTTTTCGTTGTCGAACGTTTGTAACAAAGGATGGGAACTAACCATGCGTCTTTATTTCCGACATTGGAACGGATGGATGACTTGCATACAATGTACTTTTAGCAATGCTATGAAGGATGCGGACAATAGGCAAAACCATTGAATACACGTGATTATGCACCATAGTGCGCACTATACTCGAACCATGAATATACCACGCCTTCCTATAAATACCAAGTTCCTAGTTACATAAGGTTTGTATGGAGATACAAACAACAACAATGACACGTTTGCAGGCTGTATCTTTACTAGTTATTTTTTTCGTTGTTTGCTTTGTAGAATATCAGGTAACTAAAAACAATTATTAGTTTAAATTAGCTTTTATTTTTACAGTTAACTTTAAATTTTATTTTACAGGTAACAGCAGCTGAATTCAAAAATTTGAAGGGTAAATATACTTTAAATAATGTTTTTTTTCTTTATTTGTTTATGTCTCTATTACAATTAAAATAATTTGATCATTCTTTGAAATGTTAGGATTTTAGTTTAATAAGAGAAAATAAAATAGTTCCAATAGTATTTTTAGGAAGGTAACAATACCTATTTGTTCCATTACAATTTTGAGATTTGTTTAATGAATTGCTCTTGGTTTGAAGACAAAAAATTAGGATAAAATAAATAATAATAAACTATCATGAAATGTACATAATGTACATATTCATTGACTTTAATTTTTTTACTTTTAACATTCAATATTCCATGCTTTTTGTATAAAAGTGAACTTTCCACGTAAGTTAGTGGAACTAAACTTATACAGATCCTATTTACTTTCAGATGATACATTACAAGAAACCAGAATAAAACGCCAACTGGAAGATTTTGATAGTGATGATGCTACACCAGATGACCAAGAACCTGGATTTTGGGATAGAGTTGTAAAAGTAGCACTGAGACTGTTCAATAAATTTATAGAATGGCTTAATTCATCCTAAAATACCTATTCACGTTGTTTAACAAATTTAAACTAGAAAGACATTAATAATCTTATAAATAAAGCTAATCTATAGCTAAAATCTTTATTGTGTTGTACTTGATGTAATAGTTCTGTAAGTATTTAGCCCAATTATAAACTTAATTTATATTATTTATTAATTAACTAATATCAGTAATCTTTTTCATATCAACTTGTAAATGCAAGAACATTAACACATAAATTATTATTTAATTTTTTTTAAGTTCCTTGCAAAATTTAACTGTCTATGTATATCATGATGGTTTTAAAACATCCTCAGATAAGTTAAGCGGGTTGTATGACCTTAGTGAAGCTAAATGTCTTATGTTAGTCAGCTCTTGATTATCTGTATAATGAGGAAATGAATTTAATTCTTTATCAGATATGTTAAGTGACTTAAGAACATTTTTATAACTTGATGACCTAATAAAAGCTTTACTTGTCAAAGCCGAATCAATTAGACATTTCTCCACAATAGAAATTATCATTTTATCTTTAGTCAGTGTTTTGCCTTCTAATGCATTTGCCAATGTGTGATATATCTTGCTGAAATCAACATTATTTGTGCAAATGGGTACAGGAAATTCTTCAAAATCTGCTATCAATCGAAGAGCTGTTGCTGTCTCCGTCCGAAGATCCTTCAAATTTATAGATTCTGTGAGAAATTTAGCCCAATCTGCCAGTGGTATGAGGCTGCCTCCAGATTTCTTTATACTTTTTTTCACTCTTTTACACAGTGCTGGATGTTCAGATATCTTGTTCTTGTAATGATTTATAGCGCCCCGAATATCATCTACAGATTTAGTGGTAATGAATGTACTTAGTTTTTCATAATCCTGAAAGTCACAAACTTTCAATGCTTGGAAAAGATTATATTTCTCTTCTTTTGACCAATTTTCAATGCCAGACGTGTTAGTAGTACTGGACCGCTCTTCCATCGTAGTTATATTACTACAAAATTCTTCAAGTTTTAATG